CTTCCTGACAAAAGATCTCACTACCCGTGTACCGTGCCGGTCGAACACCATAGCAGCTTAATGCCCTCTTTAACATCTCTCGCATTCCACTTTCGGCTTTGGATTCTTTCGCCGTTTTTCCAGAACGATATATTCGTTTCATCCACGCCGACAATATTTACTTACCTCGAGTCATACCGTTCGCAATCAGCCGTTCCCGGAAAGCTATTCTCTGTTGTTTCGACGTACACATATGTATCGCTCCGTCAACGGTTCTCGTAGCCGTGGCGCGATTCCGACGCAAATAAATTGAGCTTTCAATTTTCAAGTTTCAACACCACGTCGATCTAAATACTTTAATCCGTATCGATAGTGTAACCAAACCATTGGAATGCGAGTATGTGTACGTGTGTATACAACTGTACGTATATACATGCATATGTACGATTAAAGATTGGCGAACTGTGTGTTTCCTTGGGCGAATTCGTTCTTCCTCAGGCACGGTTAGATGATACCGTGGGAGGATGCGTAGACCAAACCGCGGTGGCTCGTTTCGATAGTCTTTCTGAACAAGTTGCTCAGAGTCGTTCCTACCATAACGAATTTCAACGCGATTGCATCAGTGCGCAACGTACCTACATGACACAACGTATCGTCAGGAAAAGTTGATTCGATTCCCCGCGCTCGCGGGATTAACACCGGATGAGAAATAGGCGAAAGGAGGAGAGAGAAAGAGAGAAAAAGAAAGAGAATGAGCGTGTTAGCGCAGGAAACGAAAGAGAAGAAAAAATTGGATGGAAGGGCGTTGTTGCTGGGGGCACGAATCCGCCGTTAAGAGTCGAGTTAAAACGCTCCAAACGAGTAACAGAGAACCGAGATACGGAAAGAATAGAGAGGGCACTAAGGGAAGAGAGAAAGATGGGGGGTCGGAGTGAATGTTGGTAGGTGGGGAAGTCTTGATAGGAAGAAGGCGGAAAAGGAGAAGAGAGGCAAAGAGAAGGAGAGAAAGCAAAAGAGAAAGATAGAGGGAGAAGGAAGACAGAGGGAAATGGGCGGGAGAAGCGAGAAAGAGTAAGAAAAAGAAGCAAAGATGAAGCGGATGAGGTGACGGGATGACGGGGAGACAAGTGTGGGTAGACACGCAGGCATGCAGACAAACAGGCGCGCAAGCGGGTGGATGTCGAAGAAAAAGGAAGTTGCGCAATGGTTTAACCGTCGTTGGACCGTCACGCGATATCAAACTCTCAATTTGCCTGAAAATACACGGAAATATGATCGATCGTTTCTGACAGGAGAAGAGGGTAATGCCCTATGCCATGAAAAGATGAAACCCTGGGAAAAGATAAAAGAATCAACCGAAACAGAGAAACACAGGGAGCTATATGTAAATATGTATGTAATCGTATGTATTTACGTCGAGCTTGTCCTCGAATGAAAATCCGACGTACGCGACCGTCTCCAAATTTCTTTACGCGTATAAAAGACTCGACCGATGGCAAGTCCGCAATAATAAAATTCATCCTTACAAACGACCCAACAAGACGTGCACACAACCTCTTTCTTTCCCAGCGAACTCTCAGATTTAGCCTGACTATGTAGTCAGTTAGCGACGCATAGGTACCTGTCTCGGAGCGAACTGAAAGAACACGAATAAGAATCTCCTCCGCTACCTGTTCGAACGAGCTGTGCGCGGGTGGCAACTCCGTTCCTTTGATCTCGACTCACAAAGAAGAACACCAGCGTCGTACCCTACTCGCTGCATCGCGGGCACATCCGAGCTTTGCTCCTCGCTTTTTTCCCGCGTTCCTCTCCTCTGTCAAGGACAAAGTCCATACCGAACTCATTCTACGCGTACTTCCATATAGGATAAGTGTGTGAACGAGAGCCTAGCAGCGTGTATGTGCACGTCTGTGTGTGTATGAGAGAGAGAGAGAGAGAGAGAGAGAGAGAGAGAGAGAGAGAGAGAGAGAGAGAGAACCTATAAACTTCTTAAAGGGTAGCATTGACGTTTTGTCAATAATTTATGCTACAGCCGAAAACAAGCTTGCTCCTCGTCGCGTCGTCGTTCACTGTTTCTCTGTACACTCGATACGACTTTTCATCGTTAAGTTTGTTTCCAACACACATGTTCGTACCTACTACAGTGGATCGTCGTAGACAAGAATTTCTTGGAACTGGAAGGACCTGTCACTACTTTCCTAAGGAAATCTCGTTTCATCGCGACCGTACCCTAAGTCTAGGGTACGACCCGGTTCAATAGATGCAATAAGGAAACTAATCGACGAATCGACGGAATCCAAGTCCCGCTAATGTCGCGATACAAAAAAAAAAGAACCATTATTTCTCATGCTCCGATTTTCGCAAAAGCAGTCAAGAGTGCCAAGACCATATTATAGCAATCACGACTCCGTTTCCCTCCAAAACCGGTCAGCTGACAGTATTTGTTCGACCAGCTGAAGGGGCGGGAGGGTACAAGAGGAAGCGAGACAGAATGAAATGGGATAGGATGGGATAAGATGGGATGGGATGGGATGGGATGAAATGGAATGGAATGGAACAGGAGGGGGGGCAGGACGGTGCAGTGCGGCGCGGCCAGCGGTAGGCAGTTTCGGCCATTTTTAAATCCCTCGTAGCCGCCGATTTAAAAGACCGTGTTTGGTGTGTCCTGCTACACGTCGACCTACTCGTCCCTACCTCTCACCGCGGCGTCACCGAGTCGCCCCATCATCGGCGCGTCGGCACGTTGTTTCTTTGTACCGTCGTACAACAGACGACGGTCGTGCACTCACTGCATTTTCCCGCGCTTCTTTTCTCACGTATACGCACCACTTCTCTACTTCTGGCGATACGTACTATTATTACGCGTGCCCTTTTGAACGCTTCATTTTTATCTTTCGCATACGATCGCGTAATCGTTTCATAAATCATGACTCTAGAGTTTGAATTCAAATCGACGTATATACTTCTGCGCTTGTGTCATTTGTAAATTCAATATCGTAGCAACCTGCCCTTTTATTGTGTCTTCTCTATTGCAACTACATTTCCTATACCTCGAACTACGACTAGAAATCGTTGAAAAAAATTTAGTAACATTTCAGACACTTTGAACAACCGC